TTCGAGGTTTACCAAGTTCATTGTCTCCAAAATAAAGTTGCTTGCTCCAAGCTTCCTTGATGGTGTCGATTTGAGGTTGTTTCCCGGAGGCATGGAAGAAACAAATCCCTCCAAGTTCTTCTAAGTTTGGCAAAGTTTGTGATCTCCCAAGCTTCCTTAATATCAACCTCGGGGAATAGGCTATGCATCCTCTTAATCCCATCAATGGTAGATTAAGGAATTTGCCACATCGGATCAACACTTGACTTGGCTGAAACCATGGACACATCCATGTGAAGGTGTCTTCGGTACAATTTTATATTTCGGATTTCCAGGCCATAACATACTTCCTTGGTGTAGGGATTCTAGGAAAGCTCCTTAACGGAGTAAGTAGCTTTCCCAAACGGTCTTTGGCAAAGAAGTGTGTATACGCTCGCACATAAAGGAGTAGGCTATAGTATCTTATCTGTTTTCTTGATTTCTGATTACAAAAGTCAATAGTGATCAAGGTATCAGCAAGAATGGTAGCCACATGGCTCTTTAGGTGCACATCCCAAGCAAAGAAGGCGTCAATTGTGACATGGTCTATCACCTTCTCGTGAAAAGGGAAAAGGATTATCCCAAACAAGATTAAAGCTAGAGTCTTGTTGAAAATTGTCCAGTCTTCTTGATCGGCTAGAAAGGATAGGTGTCCTTCTAGAGTAGAGAGCTTCCAACCTTTGATTGTCTCATTTCCCTCAAGTGTAGATAGATGAGGGGGTAGCTTGATTAGTTCAGTTACCTTATCCGTGGAGATACGTTCTTCCAGCATAGCGTAGACCCCTTCACATTTGGGCCACTTAACCATCAGGTTGTATTCCTCTATAATAGGTACTATGTCGAAGTGTGGGAATTGAAAACAGTGAAGCTTTGACTTCCAGAAGTGCACCAAACCTCTCATGAAGGCGGGGTCAACAAATATTTTCAATAGGTCGAGGATCCTTCCATAGTGCTTTTCGAAGTCAGCCCTGACTTCTCTTGGATTAAAGCGCATAAGTTGTTGACTCTTGGCATTGCATTATTCAGAATGTTCACCTTCCTCAACGGTCTATGCATGCTACTGTCTATGCCTTACATATTCTAAATGAATTTTTATTAATCACTACCTTAAATAAATGCATGACATGTGATTTTCTGTCTAAATATTACCATGTTTTGCTCAATTAAAGGCTGTGATGCATTACTTTTACCAATTTCAAAACAAACTAACTATATGATGCTTAAATAAGGCATTCGAAAGAGGTATTAATTTTCACCTCCTCATAACCCTTATCCATTTAAAAGAAATGAAACTACAAATGCAACAAACATAATAACAAATGCAACAAACATATGTTTACACAAAGTAATCTATGAATGGTCACAAATCCATGGTATGTGGTCCCTATTAAAGAACGTGCTTTGTATAGGAAGGTTCAAATTGTCCTCACTAGTCTTTAAAGGCTCCCAAGGCGACCCCATTATAGGGACCTAATACCTCTATCACTGTCACCTGACAAACTCTAAGGTTTGTCATAGTATTTCGGGCTAGAGTAACCAATTATCACCTTGAGTGTGATTTTTGACAAGGCACACAGGCTCTAAGGCATACTTAGGCCGGTCGTACGTCAACCACTCCCTATGTTTACGCTCTCGTGCCCTCGGGTGTAGAGGGAACTATTGTGTACAAGGGTTTGTGTGCAGTTGTTTATTTCAAACAAGCAGATATAAAGCCATTAAAGTAAATACATACAAAACAAACAAAGTAAAAGGGAACCAAATATTCAAAATTTGTTCTTGTTTCACTACCTTCATCATTTATTTGGGCTTGACCCTTTTTAAGCTTCCACAGTGGAGTCGTCATCTGTCAGAACCCAAAAAATTTCGATCTTGCCCACAAATTGTTTGGATTTCCTTTTTGAAAATCTCATCAGTTAGGGAATGCTCGAACACTAGACTAATCTCTAACTAATGGTTTTGAAAATGAGTTCATGGAGTTGCCATCGATATTTTACTCAAACCATCGAAAAAAGAAGAAAAGAGTTTTTAAAATGCCAAAATGACCTTTACAACCAGAATTAGTTTTGGGGGTTGATTACGTGTAGGGAAGGTGTTAGGCATCCTACTACGCCCTGAATTGGTACCCTATGATGAAACTAACGCAATCGTGAACAATAATTTAAATATTAGGTTCCATTTTATTTACATATTTAATGGTTTGCCTTGAAACGTCCACATGATTGCTTTTGTTGATGATAGAAAAGATAGATGGTAGAAAAAGGTACCTCTTAAAATGAGATTTTATAAATACTTCCGAATGTAGCAAATTTAAGGCCTTTTTTGGCTATCTTTCACACTTCACGATGCCTTAACAAATCTCAAGAAATAAAATGAAAGAGAGGAAGAAGAGTACTAGATTTTAGAGAGACTAATCGGTCTAAAAATTTTCAGCCTCGAGCACCGTGCTTGAGTCTACTATTTATAGGCACACAAATCTACCAAAACAGGGCTTTCTGATTTTGGAAGGGGCCATTCTAAAAATTTTTGTTATATGCAAGATTTGAATCTGGAACGACCCATTCCCAAAGCAAAACGGCCCATGTGGGATTTAAATTTTACCCATAGCAACCTAGACTAGAATGGAGCATTCTGACCTAGGGTTATAGGCCTTGTTTTAAATTTGGAATGGCCTGTTCGGGCTAATAACTCTAGCACTTATTTTTTTGATCCTTAGATGTCTTTTTCTATGGTACTGTCTTCGGGCATTTAGGAGCTCATTTGTCATATTGAAAGTCCATTTCTTAGCTTACGTGTCCCAGAAAAAATCAGGTGTCTACAAGGTCCAACCGTAGTATTTTCAAAATTGATTTAGGCCTTTCTTTAGAGCCCAGATACCGTCGTATATTAAAACATTCACATTTCTTAACTATTTATGCATGACGCTACCTAATCCTTCCATAATTTAAGGAAAATGCATGGCAGAGTAATGAGCTAGCCTAAAAATGCATGACATTTTTTTTGCCTACTTTTATTTTGCTTTTTTGTTATGTCAGGAGAGATGATGCATGATAAAGATAGGACTCTTTTTTTATTGATCATATTTTTTACTAGAAAAAAAACTACCTATATGACGTTAATGGAATGATGGCCTAAGAATGTACAAAGGGTATAAATTTCTTTATTTTATTTTTTTATTTCTTTATTATCCATTTGCTTGTTTTTAAAATTCCAATCTACTCCTTGTTAAGACAAACAATATGAACAAACAAATGCTGAAGCAATGTACACTCTCGAAAAAATCACGTTCTAATCCATGGGTTGGGGTCCCTGTCAAAGAAAAGGGCATTGTATGGGAACGTTCTAACTATTCTCACTAGTCTTTAAAAGCCCCCAAGGTGCCCCCATTATAGGGACCCAATACCTCTATCGCCATCACCTGGTAAACTCTAAGGTCTATCGCAGTATTTTGGGCTGAAGTAACCGATTATCACCTTGAGTGTGATTTTCAACAAGACTTGCAAGCTTGAGGCCATTCTTGGGCCAACCGTACATCAACTGCTCCCTATGGTTTGTACACTCTTGCCCCCGGGTGTAGGGGGAACTAGGGATGGAAAATATACCCGTACTCATGGGTAATATCCAAACTCGTCCCTACTTTGACATGGAATACCCGATTTGACCAGGTACGAGTACGAGTACAGGTAAAATTTGATATATTAAATCGGGTACACGTACGTGTACAAGTATGTACTTACCTGGCCCGTACCCGTACCCGTACCTATCCCTGTTCCCATTCTTAATTTAATACCCACTTTTGATTTAATTATTTAAAAAATTTTAATATTTTATTATGTGTGATTATTATTGAGTCAGACGAAGCCATTTCCAGCGAGGTTTTCAACATGACAAATATAATACATATTGTTAAGACTAATCTATGTGTCAGTGTTTCAGATAAATATAAGAAACAGGAAAAACTAAAGCATGGATGAACAAAATAAGGATCAAACAAAAGCCAAATGAGCGCCAGGCAATAACAAATATCAGACGAAGATGTGTCAAGGACAACCAAACGCAAGGCCAAAACAAATATCAACCAAAGAGAAAAACTAGACCAAGACAAAGTTGGCTCAGCACCAAATAAACATTACATGAAGCTCAATAGTCAACTAAACAAAGGTCAACAAAACAAGTATCAGTTATTGTGATCTGCTCTTTGTTGAAGTCCTCGGCTAGGCGTAAGGCCGAAAGGGTGTTCGGCCTCCCCCGAGGCCGAAAAGGTGTTCGGCCTAGGTCAAACAACACGTGGCAAGTTAGATACTTATTATGCGCTAATTATCATGCCAGATTAAGAGGAGATTAAGGCTAACTCAAGTGTTACCTATCTCCCAAGACTGAAGGCCCACCAGGCCCAATTGTGTCACTATAAATACACAGGTGATGTGATATAAAAAGGTACGTTATTGTCCAATATAAAAGCACTTATTACTCTATACCGAATACTCACTTGATCATTGGAGTGCCTTTGCAGGTACCCTCCCCACCCCGTGGAGATAGTATTCGGTCGGCACCGAAGACTTAGAAGATCAAGAAGGAAGAACGACAAGAGGAGTGTTTCTACGCAGGAACATTTTGGCACCCACCGTGGGACCGAAACCAAAACGGTTCTCGACCCTGAAGCAAGATGGTAGCAACAAGGAGCCAACAGGAGAACGCAGCAACTCACCCTTTCGGGATGCCCCGAGATACTACTGGACAACAGACTAATCGCAATGAAGAAGGAATGGAGGAATCCTACGTAGAGCGATCCCAACAACCCAATCCGCCATCGGCCATCAAGCAATTGAAGGCCGAAATGATGGAACTAAGGAGGCTCCGAGAAAAGGACGCTCACGAATTATCAGTTCTAAGGAAGGAAAACGCAAAACTCCGAAGTGACAATCGATCTTGGCACCCATCCCACGATATCCCAACCATCGGCCATCGAGCAATTGAAGGCCGAAATGATGGAACTAAGGAGGCTCCGAGAAAAGGACGCTCACGAATTATCAGTTCTAAGGAAGGAAAACGCAGAACTCCGAAGTGACAATCGATCTTGGCACCCATCCCACGATATCCCAAATACTCTGTCAACTAAGGACCAAGGGGAGTCTTCGGGGTGGTACAAAGAAACAAGAGATCTTAGACCCCCACCAGGAGTGACAACTACTACTCTCGACCAGCAACGAAGACAAGGAAGGACGCCGTTCACACCAGATATTGTCGGGGCCCGTTTGCCCGACAATTGGAAAAACTTGACCCTGGAGAAGTATGACGGGACTGCCGACCCGGAGGAACACCTTGATGCATTTGTCACCCAGGTCGGTCTATACACGGATGATGATGTTATCCTCTGCAAAGTCTTTCCCACTTCGCTAAAGGGACCGACACTCAACTGGTTCACGAGGCTCCCACCTGGATCGGTGGACTCGTTCACGTCCCTATCATCCCGGTTCGTGATACAGTTTGCCACGAGCCGTCCTCATCAGCTCACATCAATCGCGTTGGTCAATATACGCCAAGAAAAGAAAGAACCTCTGAGAACTTTTATGGAAAGGTTCGGAAAGATGACGTTATCCATCCGCAACCTGGACCCGGCCGTAGCAATGCATCACCTGACCACGGCGTTACGACCCGGACCCTTTGTCAACAGCTTATGCAAGAAGCCACCCCGAGACCTAGACGACCTGAGGCAGAGAGCCACAAAATACATGCAGATGGAGGAACTGGCCGAGTTTCGGAGTCAAAACCGACCCGACCTATTTCTCGCGAAAAAAGAAAGTGACAAGGAACCGCCCAGATCACGCCCCAGAGACGTGTCGGATCGTGACAAGGGTAATAGGGGGCCGAGATATATGCAGTACACGCCGCTCAACACCAGCAGGGCTAAGGTGTTGGAACAGGCCCTAGCCATTGAAGTCCTGGCCGTCCCCCGAAGAGCCATGACCCCGCCGCGCGCCGATAAAACAAAAGCATGCCAGTTCCACCGGAATAGAGGGCACACTACTGAGGAGTGTTCCGCCCTTCGGGATCGAATTGAAGACCTTATTAAGGCCGGACATCTTCAAAGCTTTGTTCGATCATCAGACAACCGCAGGAACGATAATCGTCCTGGTAGGGGGGAGTACAGAAGGGAGAATCGGGATCAGGCACCTCCGCGGAACCAATCCCGCGAGCGTAGCAGGTCCCAAGACAGGAACAATCAACGGGACCGCAATCAACCTAGACGAGTGATAAACACCATTGCCGGAGGCTTCGCAAGAGGAGGAAGCTCATCCTCAGCCCGGAAGAGACACTTGAGGGCCATCACGTCGGTCAACGCTATAGGACGGGCATCCCCCATTCGTATGCCCCCCATAACATTCACCGACCGAGACTTTCAAGGCATTGACCCAATACAAGGCGATCCCATGGTCATCAATGTAGAGATCAATAACTGTATCGTGAAGAAGACTCTGGTCAATCAGGGTAGTTCGGCGGACATCTTGTACTGGAAGACGTTTGAGCAACTGGGCATTCCGGAACAGGAATTGACACCTTTACGATGAACCTTTGGTAGGATTTTCGGGTGAACGGGTGGACACTCGGGGAACGATAGACCTGTACACCTACTTCGGGGATGACCAGCGTAGGCGGATCAAGGTGCGCTACGTGGTTGTGCATGCCAACACTTCGTACAACATTCTGTTGGGCCGACCCTCTCTGAACAGACTCCGAGCCATCGTATCCACCCCACATTTGACTATGAAGTTTCCGTCAGAGGAAGGGGCCGTCATCACCGTGCATGCCGATCAGAAAACAGCACGCGAGTGTTACTTCGCCAGTCTAAAAGTACAGCCAACTCTAAAACCAAGACGAGATGTCAATGTTATCGGAGATGTTGGCCAATAGGAACCAGGTGAAGGCCTAGAACTTGACCCGAGAATGGAGGATGAAGATAGGGTCGAACCCATCGAAACAACGGTTCCGTTCCAACTTGGAAAGAATGAAGATCAAGTCACTTTTTTGAGTTCTCAACTATCTGAAACAGAGGCTAAGGATATTAAGCAAGTCCTACAAGAATATTCGGATTTATTCACTTGGACTGCAACTGATATGCCGGGCATCGATCCTAGTTTTCATTGCCACCGACTCTCAATATGTCGAGACGCCAAGCCTATCGCTCAAAAGAAAAGAAAAATGGGTGGGGAAAGGGCCCAGGCAATAAAAGAGGAGACCACCAAGCTACTACAAGTGAGATTCATAAGGGAAGTCAAGTACTCCACTTGGTTGGCCAACGTGGTGATGGTGACAAAGTCAAATGGAAAGTGGCGGATGTGCACGGATTACACGGATCTGAACAAAGCATGCCCAAAAGACGCTTACCCCTTGCCCCACATCGATGCATTGGTCGACGGAGCGGCCGGCCATCAGAGACTGAGTTTCCTGGACGCTTATTCGGGGTATAATCAAATACCTATGTATCCCCCGGACGAAGCAAAGACCGCGTTCATCACAGATTCGGCCAACTATTATTACAGGGTAATGCCATTCAGCTTGAAGAATGCTGGGGCGACTTACCAGCGCCTCATGGACAAGATCTTCCGTCGGCAGATTGGAGCGTGCTTGGAAGTGTATGTGGACGATATGGTGATCAAGTCCAACTCCGCCACCGACCATCTGAATAACCTCCACACGATTTTTGACGAGGTAAGGTGGCACCACATGCGATTGAACCCGGCCAAGTGCAGGTTCGGGGTAGTCGGTGGAAAATTTCTGGGATTCATGTTGTCAAAAAGAGGCATAGAAGCCAACCCCGACAAATGCCAAGCCATCATCAATATGAGAAGCCCTATGAATGTAAAGGAAGTGCAGCGTTTGGCCGGACGCATCGCCTCCCTAGCTCGGTTCCTGCCTTGCATGGCGGACAAATCTAGACCCATTATGTCCCTACTGAAGAAAGCCACCAAATTTAAGTGGACTGACGAATGTGAATCAGCTTTCCAAAGCTTCAAAACAATATTAGAAGCTCCACCATTGCTAGCCAAACCGGACCCCCAGTTGGACATGATAATATACCTCTCGGCTTCCGACAAAGCCGTCAGCACTGTATTAGTGCAAGAAAAAACAGAGCAGATGCCGGTATACTTCATCAGCCGAGTCTTACAAGAGGCCGAGACAAGATACCAGCATCTCGAAAAGACCGTTCTTGCTCTTGTACATACAGCCAGACGCCTCCGACATTATTTCCAAAGCCACAGAATACTTGTCCGGACGGATAGCCCCATTGTCAAAGTCTTGCGGAAACCCGAATTGGCCGGAAGGATGGTCGCTTGGTCCATCGAATTGTCACAATTTGATATTCGTTTTGAGCCAAGGGGACCCATCAAGGCGCAAAGCATGGTCGACTTCATCAATGAATTCACACCGCCAATAACTCCCGAGCCACACATTTGGACGCTGCACGTGGACGGATCATCAAACCAACAAGGTAGCGGCGCCGGCATCATCTTGGAAGGACCCGACAACATGGTAATCGGACAATCATTGCGGTTCGGATTCAAAACTTCTAATAACCAAGCAGAGTACGAGGCCCTTCTCGCAGGACTTAGATTGGTTGCCGACCTCGGCATCACGAAGATCCAGTGCTTCAGTGATTCGCAAGTGGTAACAGGGCAAGTCAACGGCACTTTTCAGATCAAAGAACCAACATTGCTATTGTACTTTCATGCTTTCCAAAAGCTAAAAAGAAACTTTGAAGTTGTCCGGATCACACACACACTCAGGGAACACAATACAAGAGCCGATCAGCTAGCCAGACTAGCTAGTAGCAAGAAAACCAGCCATTTGCGTAGCATGATACAGCAAGAGCTGCTAAGCCCGAGTATCAACGAGGCTGAATGTTTGCAGATGGATCAGGGAGGCCCCTGTTGGATGGATGCCATAATAAACCACCTTCGGACCGGACAACTGCCCGAGGATCCCCTTAAAGCTAAGAAAATGAGAACCACGGCTGCACGGTATACGCTGATTGCCGGAGAATTATATAAGCGGGGCATTTCTTCCCCCTGTTGAAATGTCTCGATCCCGAACAGGCGCACTACGTTCTCCGAGAAATTCATGAAGGTGTGTGCGAAACTCACTCGGGAAGCCGAACTCTCGCAGACAAAGTTATCCGTGCAGGGTACTATTGGCCAACCTTAGTCGCAGATTGTGCCAAGTTTGTTCAACATTGCAAACCGTGCCAAAAATTTGGACCATTAACACATCAGCCTCCAGAGGAATTGCACTCCATCACGGTCTCATGGCCGTTCTCCATTTGGGGCATGGACATACTGGGACCTTTTCCACCAGCCAAAGGGCAAGTGAAGTTCCTAATCGTGGCAGTGGACCACTTCACTAAGTGGATTGAAGCAGAAGCAGTAGCCACCATCACGGCCAGCAATATTCAGAAGTTCTTCTGGAAGAACGTGATCACACGCTTCGGGATCCCATACGCATTAATCACTGACAACGGTTTACAGTTCACCGATCGGCGTTTCAATGACTTCCTTTCAGAATTGGGCATCAAGCACAAAATGACTTCAGTCGAACATCCCCAATCTAATGGACAGGCCGAAGCTGCAAATAAGGTCATCCTCAAAGAATTAAAGCGACGGCTCGGGCAGGCCAAGGGCTCATGGCCGGATCACCTACCAGAGATTTTGTGGGCGTATCGTTGTACTCCACAAAGTTCTACCAAAGAAACCCCATTTCGGCTAACCTACGGTACCAACGCCATGATTCCGGTGGAAGTTGGGGAACCTACACTTCGACGACAACAATTCAATGAGGATACCAACAGGGAAGCTCTCAACATAGACCTAAACCTTGTTGATGAAACACGCGAGTCGGCTCTCGTCAATATGGAAGCTTGCCGAACCAGGGCATCTAGGAAAGTCAGAACGAAAGTAAAGCCTCGTCAATTTCGGGCAGGGGACCTAGTATGGCGAGTCACGGGTGAAGCTCACAAGGACAAGGCTCAGGGGGAGTTAGCGCCCAATTGGGATGGACCTTATCGGATAAGGCACGACCTGCAAAATGGAGCCTACAAACTAGAAGAGCTCAGCGGGAAGGTTATACCCCGCACTTGGAATGCGACGCACCTGAAGCATTACTTTAGCTAGTCCCTCTTATGTAACTTGCTTCATCGGCATTGACCTAGGCCGAACACCTTTTCGGCCTCGGGGGAGGCCGAACACCCTTTCGGCCTTACGCCTAGCCGATGACTTCAACAAAGAGCAGATCACAAACAACACGTGGCAAGTTAGATACTTATTATGCGCTAATTACCATGCCAGATTAAGAGGAGATTAAGGCTAACTCAAGTGTTACCCATCTCCCAAGACTGAAGGCCGACCAGGCCCAATTGTGTCACTATAAATACACAGGTGATGTGATATAAAAAGGTACGTTATTGTCCAATATAAAAGCACTTATTGCTCTATACCGAATACTCACTTGATCGTTGGAGTGCCTTTGCAGGTACCCTCCCACCCCGTGGAGATAGTATTCGGTCGGCACCGAAGACTTAGAAGATCAAGAAAGAAGAACAACAAGAGGAGTGTTTCTACGCAGTTTAATGTTTTCATTGTAATTTTAATATAAAATAAATTAGATGATGGAAATTGGAGATCTGTACAACTCGAATCTAAACCTTGAACTGCGCCTAACTCCCCCTTCGTGGCCTAATTAGTGTGACGCTGGTAAGAATCCAACTCTCTTTTGTCAAATTCTAGAAGAAGAATTGTATAACCTTAAATAATACAAATTGTTATAGAAGACGAATAAGAAAACCATACAAAAGAAAAGAACAGAAACAACTATCGTACGTGGGGTCAGGTTTGATGTTTTTTTAGGTATTCAGCGCGCCTATTCAAATTATAACTACCCGTAGTTAATGTTGAGGAATATGAAAGTACACAAATATTAATGATGTGAAAGTTATAACTATCCGTAGAATTTAGATATTTTTGAAAAATAATAATTTTTATTTAAATTAATAAAATTAATATGCAAAAATGATATAGATTATAAATAACTTTTAAGGTTAAATATGTTTTTAATTTTGTAAATTTAGAATAATTTATTTTTAATTTCTTAAATTGAAAACTGTTTTTTAATTTCTAAAACGGATAGATTGATAGAATTTTTAACAAAATTTAAGTATAAAAATTGAAATAAGATTTTTTTAAATTATATGTATTAAAAATTAATTTTAGATTTAAGAAATTAAAAATAAATTAAATTATCTTAAATTTAAAAATAAAAAATATATTTAAGCCAAAATTTTAAAACTCGTTCAGTTTAACAGTTGGGTAAAATGGATTAGAAACGGTGAAAACTGTCAACACAAAATTGGGAGGAGCTTTCTAATTGCGCTAAGAGGTCATATTCTTGCAGCATCTCAAGCTGCTGTGACACCCTTACTACCCCAACACATATATAATATAATTTAATTAAGAAGAATAAACTTTCAAAGGATTCGTAAAAGGGTTCACATAAAACTTCGAAACTGTTCTTTCTTCAATATAAGAAAATGACTGAAAAAATAAAACTTGAAAGGTAAAATTTAAGAGTTTACAATTTTAAACACATTTATTACAATACCAAATCCATATAAATATTCTGTCCTAGAAATCCTCTGCCCCGATGTCACATTATCAGAGCATTCCCATAATTTAACTGTTGGCATTCTAGATGTCACTCGTAGTCGGATCTTCTTCACCTAAAATATTCACAGTTTATACGGTGAGAAAAGAAAATATCTATATGCAAAGTACATACAAACACATCACAATATAATCTCATCATAATTCATTATTTAATAAAATATATATATATATATATATATATA